CTCCATGGCTTGATCTCACTTCCCTTTCAACTCTGTTCTAGTTGTAGCCTTCACAGCCTCCTGCAGCAAGGAGTTCCACAGGTTGACTCTTTGCTTTGTGAAGAACAACTTTCTGTTACTAGTTTGAAGCCTCCTACCCATTTCTTGTCTTTGGTGTCCTCTAGTCCTTTTTTATGGGAACTAATGAAGAACTTTTCTGTGTGCACCCTCTCCACCCAACTCCTGGTTTTAGAGTCCTCTATCCTGTCCCCCCCTCCGTCTCCTCTTTTCTAAGCTGAAAAGTCCCAGTCTCTTTAGCTTCTCTTCATATGGGACCTGTTCCCAACCCCTGATCATTTTAGTTGCCCTCCCCTCTCCCACCCTCTCTCTTCCCCTCTCCCACCTCCTTTTCCCAGTCTCCCCCAGTTTTGTTCAATAAAGACAGAGTCAATGTTGGAAGAAACATTATCTTTATTTTGTACATCAGGAAGGCGGGCTAGGGAAGGGTAAGTGGAAGGAGGTGAGGGAGGAATGGGGTACGCGCCCCCGATGGGGAGGACTGGGCTGGCTCTGTGGGCTTCTGGGGATGAAAGCTCTCCTGCAGTCCCCCAATTGCCCCCTCTCCCCAGATGGCAGCCTGCGGCAAGTGCAGCCGGGCTGATGGCCGAGTGCTGTGATGTGCCCAGTGTGGGTACTCCGGGCAATTCAAGCCAGGACTGCTTTGCAAGCGGGGCACCCCTGAGAACTGTCTGTCTGGGGTGGGGGTCGGGACCCTTTAAGCGCAGCCCTCGGCTAGCCTGAGACAGCATCTCCACGCTCTAAGTCCTCCTCTGATGCCCTGCCGGCACTGCTTCCGGCCATCCTTAAGGCCTGTTCAGGGTCCACTCAATGTGGACTTGCTAGTTCGAATTAGCAAAACGCTAATTCGAACTAGACCCCTGAGAACTGTCTGTCTGGGGTGGGGGTCGGGACCCTTTAAGCGCAGCCCTCGGCTAGCCTGAGACAGCATCTCCACGCTCTAAGTCCTCCTCTGATGCCCTGCCGGCACTGCTTCCGGCCATCCTTAAGGCCTGTTCAGGGTCCACTCAATGTGGACTTGCTAGTTCGAATTAGCAAAACGCTAATTCGAACTAGTTTTTAGTTCTAGACGCGTTAGTTCGAATTAGCTTAGTTCGAATTAACTAATTCGAACTAAGTTAGTTCGAATTACCGTTGTAGTGTAGACGTACCCATATTTCTTTCTTTTTAAAAATGAACCTTTAGATATTAAGTACTAAAGGATTCACAACGGTGTGATTATTGGGTACGATCTGAGTAATGTATTGACCTGAGTAGATGGCTGGACCCTTAGGATCAGAAGAACCCTTTGGTTGATGAAATTGGTTTTAAATAACCACTCATCATTAAGTCTAGTGTTTTTGGTGATGATACAAGGGTTGGAATATCTAAGGAAACTGCTTTTCTAACTTCTTGTTGGCTCGTGCAATAAAACAGAAGTTTACTTTTGTTGCTGGCTGGGTTGCCAGTTTTGAGGTGTGACTGTGCTATTTCGCAGCAGTTTGTCTAGAATTTGGTATTCTCCACTGTGATCCACTAGGGCATGGTGACAGCCTGACAGGAAACTTGGTTTAGCAGGCTTTTTTGCTGTTCTCAGACTGCTCTTCCAGTTCTACGGGCAGGACAAATTTTCATGGACTACTGAACCCAAGACAGAAGACTGTCAGCAAGAGGCTTTAAGAAAAGTGTGATTGTTATTTCCCAGTCCTAGCTGTTAGTTCTGAACTGCCAAAGGCCCTTTTAACCAGTAATGGCAGAACTGCACACAACTTGTTAGATTTTCACCTCAGAAAGTGTTGGAAAAAATGCTGATCTCAATGTTTCTAAACAGTGGTGCCTACCTCCCAAAATTACAGCACGGCCATTAGACACCCCTCACATTAATGGCACTTGTATTTCACATTTCCAGATGATGAAAAGTTTGACTTGGTGTACAGTAAATTCTTGGTGGGAGGAGAGAGCTGTCTACAAATTAATCAGCAATGACAGATGCCGCCATCTAATTATAGAACTGAGATGTGCAAAGAACTATAATGAAAACTGATTACTATCCACATAATTTCTACAATTTTAATTTTAATAAATGCTTGAAATGACTGATTACACAATTAAGTCACATTTTGCCTACACCACCCCTAGTTATAAAGTCCTTTGGCAATACACTCATACTTTATACTTTAGTCCTATTCATTCACTTTATTCTATACAACTAATTTTAGATTGAATTTTCTGGAATGAGAATCTCATACTCATGTATTATTTAAATAAATAATCTGTCAAATTCAGAGCTACCTGGCATTACTTTTAATACTCAAAGCATACAGGTAAAAAGAAAAACATATCATCCTCATCCCTTTTTGAATACAAACATACACCACAAATAAAAAGTCTAAGCCAAACCCTCATCTTGAACTTAGCTCTCTTCAAAAACCTGAGAAAACATGTAAGTAGTCAGGTAGCCACCCACTTGACACTCACAAATATAAACTTAATGTACACATTGATTTTCTGTGTGCATAGTCCAAGCATACACAAATACAGCAATGCAACTGCATGTCCCTCAGCTTTACAACTCTGGCCCATAATGCTTTACCTTTTGACAAAATGTTTAGTTTACCAAAAAGGGCTTTGCACATGGATGGACATAAGTATTTTTTAAAAAAGACTGCAAGTCCTTACGTGTTATAATCAACTTGTAATGATCCATTCAAAATGCCCTATTCTGTGAACAGAATAACATTATCCAGTGTTCTGGGACATTATGATAGAAGACCGTATGCTGCTGGGACCAGGGTGAGAAAAAAGATGTAAAATATTTCAAGAAAAGTTTTTGAAAACATGAAAGTCTAAATTGGCACAGATGCTTAACTGCCTTGAGTGTCCCTGGGCATGGAGCATGTGCCTACTGAAGCAGTGCTAGTATAGCCTTTGGATGTATGCTACACATTCAACTGCCCTGACTCATTACTGAAAATAATTAGGCCAAGCTAAATGACATAGGATGAATGCCAGAAATATGTGTCACTCAAGGTGCAAATGTCATAAGCCCTTCAATTGCAGACAGGGGGTCCAAAATGACTTCCTTTTAAAGGCTAAGGACATTCATATTAATAAAGCATGATTCTAAGTTTTAAACAGGATAAGTTAAAACAGAAGTGTTTTTCTACTTCTCAGAATAAATATTTCCTGTTTCTATGTCCAATCAACTGTCCTTCATTACTTCATCATTTTAATTCCAGGAAATTAGTTTTATTTTTTCATCCTTCTTTACAAGTCTATATGACAGATGGAAAACTATCAGTTTTGAAGCACACATTCTTCATTGTTCAGGGATTTTCATGGGGCTTCCAAATAAGAGTGGGTCTGACCACTGTTCAGCTGAAGTTTACTGCTCTTTTTCTGAGTTTATTGAGACAATCATTTCATAGAAGACAAAAGTATTAGTTGAAATCTTCCTAGGGTGAAATGTTGACCTCACTGAAGTCAACAGGAGTTTTGCTACTAACCTCAGTAGTGTTTGTACAACCCAGTTAGATCCTCATCCTGAGAAATGCAGAACCCCTTTTGAGCACCCAGTGGAAGTCAGTAGAAGTGGAGGTGTTCTGCAGCTACTCCTCACCTATCCAGATAAGATGCTGAGCAAACAGAGCTATTTTCCAACAGAAGTTAAGTACAATATGAATTCAAACAAATTTCAGGAGTGAGTAAAAAACACATAACCTCCACTCATTCTCTTCTCCTGCTTTTCATCAGTTCTCTGGCCTAAAAAGACTGGAGAGGTTACAGAAAAGCCTTTTGCCTCACTTTCATATATCATAATTTGTGCACCATAATCCTAGGCCATTCCAATGGTCAGTTGTGTCTTAAACTGTCATAGTGACTCCACAAATGTCATTTGTGTACACATTTTGGGGGCAGGAGCTCTAGAATTGATATCTGGCTGATAAATACTTGAAAGCATTTAAACCTCACTGATTTCTTAATCTTTTTTTAAATTGTGTAAACTCTCAACATCACCTGGCCTACAAACAGCAACAGTTTCAAAGAAGCAGAACACACCCATGGCTGGCTTACCAGAAATGCCTTGCTCTGCTCCCACTGAAGGTAATGGGAAAAAATCCTATTTGGGTGATTCAATGGAAGCAGAGTTAGGTTAATGCCAAGCACTTTTGAAAATCTCAATCTTCATGTACATTTTTCATTTAGAAGAAATAAAATATTATCCCATAACCCTAGGAAAGATCCTCCATACAAAGAAATAACAAAAAGGAGAAGTTTTGTTCATCTGTCTAGTGCCCTGCACCAGAAAAAGAATTGAAAAAAATAGCAGCTTGATAAATAAAATATCCCACTCTTTGCATTCCTAGAAACAGCTGTCATAAAGTTGAAAAGCTACCTTCACCATTTCATTTTAATCCTATAATCTTTGGAGTTTCAGTAATACTTTATAGTCTCTATGCCACATAGTATTGCGTTTTGGTGGGGTGGGGGAGGAGTTAATCACATTCATGATAAATATCTCACATGATAATATTTATACTTTAAGAAAGTGTATGACTGAATGCTGGAAACAAATAAATACACACATTCATATGTAAACATTTTAGCATGAGAACTAGCTTCTTGGATTTGTAAAAAAAAAATCCAATTAAACCCACGACTGGTCCCATTACAGCAGGGATTTACCAATACTCCTAGAGCAATTAGGTTTATTCAGCAGCACAAAAAGAATTACACACTCACAAGTTTGTGCTTTGCTGGGAATTGAAGAAGCAGCAACAAGAGGCAGCAACATGGTGTCTTCTGAGGAAGCCTCCCTGGAATCCCAGCTGCTTCTGCTCTGCCTTCGGCCCCTCCTTCACATGAGGTCACAGAGAAAAGGGCAGCATGATTCTCCCAGGTCATAAAGGCACATGCTATCTTGTCAACTTTCAAGCCAACAGCCTATGATTATTCAGAATGTCACTCCTGTAGTGGCTGGCAGGCCTACTGATGGGGGAGAGGGCAAAGTGGGCAACTGCCCTGGAAATTAAAAGGGCCTGGGGCTCCTAGATGTCACTTCTGTGGCCACAGCCCTATGTCCTTTGGAGCCCCATCCCCTTTAAATCTCCACCACAGCCCCAGGACATGCTGAAGGGCTGGCTGGGGGAGGTTAGCTCCTAACTCCACTCCTTCCATTCAAGGATAGCATCAGGGTATGTCTACACAGCAGTGTTATTTCGGAATAACATAATCCACGTCTACACAATAAGCAGTTATTTCAACATAACGTCAAGATGGAGGACTTGTTACTTGGACTCCTGTAACCCTCATTTTACTAGGACTAAGGGTATGTCTACACTCCCCCCCTAGTTCGAACTAGGGGGGGAGTGTAGACATACCCTTAGTCCTAGTAAAATGAGGGTTACAGGAGTCCAAGTAACAAGTCCTCCATCTTGACGTTATGTTGAAATAACTGCTTATTGTGTAGACGTGGATTATGTTATTCCGAAATAACACTGCTGTGTAGACATACCCTTAGTCCTAGTAAAATGAGGGTTACAGGAGTCCAAGTAACAAGTCCTCCATCTTGACGTTATGTTGAAATAACTGCTTATTGTGTAGACGTGGATTATGTTATTCCGAAATAACACTGCTGTGTAGACATACCCTTAGTCCTAGTAAAATGAGGGTTACAGGAGTCCAAGTAACAAGTCCTCCATCTTGACGTTATGTTGAAATAACTGCTTATTGTGTAGACGTGGATTATGTTATTCCGAAATAACACTGCTGTGTAGACATACCCTATGAGAAGTCAGAGGAAGAGTGCTCTGTGTAGTACGCTGTGTAGACAGCGCCGGAAGACAAAATAAGCTATTTTGACTTAAACTACGCAATTGACATAGCTCAAGTTGCATAGCTTATCTCCGCTTTAGCCCTGCTGTATAGACATGCCATCGGTGTTGGATATGGGGGGGTCTACACTAGACCCACTAAATCAAATGCTAGAAGATCAACCTCCGGAGGGTCAATCTTCTCCATAGTGCAGACTTGCCCGCTATTATTAGCAACAACATTCTGAAAGAAGCTTGACCCATAGTCCTCTCTGATTTTCAAAGCTACTTTTATATCAGATGTTAGCGATTCACAAAAAAGCACACCTTGAACATTATATTTGCCCACATTTCAGGAAATATGATAATATATTTCTATGGAGTGAGTAATAAGTATTTCTTCTGTATGTGATCAGCAGCCACATAAACCCTTTTTTGAGCTGAATTAAAGAAAATAAATACAGGAGTCTGAACTTGACATTTCCTTATTTTCAAAAAATGACCTAAACAAAGTTTCAGGTACTACACCTATTACTGAGTCCCCAGACCAACTGTTATGGTTTTCATCCACATTTTCTGATTTCAAAACATTTCTCTCTCTTCTGCTTCTGTTTCAAAGAGTTAGACAAACGATCAGGAAAACTGGCTATAGAGAAGCAGTGAAAGTGACTATCAAGAAAATGCAATAAAATGCATAAAGTACAGGCAGTCCCCGAGTTACGCGGATCTGACTTATGTCGGATCCGCACTTATGAACCGGGCTTTTCTCGCCCCAGAGGATGCAGGCGGCAGGACCGCCCAGACGCACCGAGGTCCCGCCGCCCTCGTCCTCCAGGGCGAGAAAATCTGCTCCGCGTCTCCCTGGTCTGCTGGGAGGGGGGGGCTAGCAACAGCTAGTGCGCCCCCCCAGCAGACCAGGCTTTTCTCGCCGACGCCC